ATTTTTTGACTAAATTTTTAAGGACATGTAATCTCTAACATGGAGATCATGAATATAAATAAATAAATAAATTTTAAAAACTAGAAATAATAATTTTAGGAAAAAAATTTGGACCGTTAGTTTCTCTTGTTTTTAAATGGAACACCTATTTACATTTTTTGGAGTGCATATGTAGTCATGTAGTCCAACCCACATGAAATAATTTTCCTTTATGTTATACAATAATTTTTTTATATACTATTTTAAAAATATAAAATAATATATAAAATAATTTTTTAGATTCAATTGGATCTGCTCCAGATCCCATGTATAAGCTGGATCGAGATCCTAATATTCTGGATCCAAATTCGAATCCCATGCATATTTTCAGGATCCAAATTCAGATTTTGGTAGATCTAGATCTGATCCAACCCATTCTCACCCTAACATGATGTACTACTTTCTTAAAAAAAAAAGGCATTTAGAGACAACATTAATAGAAACATGCCACATGTAACATGGACATTCTTGCATAGTCTTTCAAGTCTTTTAACGGATACAATATTAGTGTCTAATACTCAAAAGACTTGGACACTTCATTTTCACAGCTTTTTTTGATTTTTTTTAATATAAAAAAAATACTTACTCACCTAAAATCTCATTTTTTTTTTCAATAATCAATGTGTCATATATGAAAAATCATTATTGACATTGTTGTGACACTTGTCAATGTTATTTGATGATACCTTTACCGTAATAAAGAGTCCGGCACAAGTATGCCTATATATGTGTATCCATGTAAGATATAGGAGGTGCAATAAAAAGAAATTACCAAGTATGGTGATGAAGGAACACCGGTTACTCTACAAAAAACGAGGCTAGGCTAGGAGTGGCAATGGCCTTGCCTGTGACTTGGGATTTGACGATAGGGCTCAATTTGATTCGGGTCTAGGTATGAGTCCAAAACTTAGACCCGATGGGTAAGGTCCAATCGGGTTTGGGTCCGATAAGACTTAGATCTGACCTAACCTGTTGCTACCCCTAGCTAGAGTTGTTAGACCGAAAATAAGTCATGTGCCTATGTCCCCAGGAAAACTACGGCCTCCCTACAAATTTGGACCAAAAGGTTGAGTTTTAAGATAGACCCTCGTTGTCCTAGCATGAGCAGCCATTTAAGAACTAGGGTAGGCTAAGGCTAGGGCTGGACCATAACTATTGTGAGCCGAAATTAGGTACAGGGATGGCAATGGGCTGAGCCTTAGCCAGGACATCTGTCCCTAGTCCGGCCTGGCCCAAAAAAGCCCTAGTTTTATTAGGGCCGGGCCGGGCAAAATAAAATGAAAAAAAGCCTAAAAAGAGATGCCCCGGCCGGGCCAAACCAGCCCTGCCTTGACCTATGCCTAGCCCGGCCCTATCTTCCCATGCCCAGGCCTCAGGTCCATTTTGCAGCTCAAGCCCTAGTTGTTTAGCGCTGGGCAAGGCCAGATGGCTGGGCTGAGCCACCCGGGCCATTGCAACCCATAATTAGGATTCCATATATCCTGTGATGTGAACGGGGAGACGCCACCTCATGTAATAGTAGAATAAGCACGTGTACAGAGAAGGAACGTTCATCCCAACAAACCCAACGGCGGTTAACGCCTTAACGGTCACTCTGTCTAAAAAATAAAAGAAACACATGAAAAATGAAAGATGGGCCCCTCCTCTTTCACTTTATACACTCCGGTCCTCGATGCAGAGGCGCATTCCTCTCAAATTCACCATTGGTCCCATGATCTCTCTGGCTCCTCTCTCCTCCCTCCCAGGAGGTTTGAGCCAGAGGACCCTCCCAGCTCTCCACCCCAATCAGAACCCTAGACTCTCTCTCTCTACATTTTCTCTCTCTAGAATTTTCTCCTCCAAAACCTTAAAAGTATCTGCAAAATCAAACCAGAGCACCAACAAAGATAACACCGCCATAGGAAAAGAAACTCTTCCTGATAAGAAATCCATAGAATTAGATGGAGCGCTCTCTTCTGGGAAGAAATCCTTTGCAGTAGCAACGGGAGAAATCTTTTTAGGGTTAGCTTCTGCTCTCCTCAAGACAAGAAGGGAAAGCCTAAAGGGCTCTGATTCAAAAACTGAGGTTTTTGTGGATTTTGATAAGATCGAGGAGAATGGGTTTTTGACGGATGGTAAAAATGGTGGTGTTTCTTCTTCAGTTTCAGAGGTTCCCTGTATAGTTTGGGAGCAGAGGGAAAAGGATATAGAGGCAGAGAGGACTCGACCTAAGGTCACTAGCCCAGGGTTTAGTTTCTCAGCTGCTGGTCTTCTGTTCCCTTATCATCTTGGTGTTGCTCAATTTCTTATTGAGAAGGGGTATATACTGGTAACGACTCCTGGCGAAGTGATAATGAGTATTTTTCCTATATTTTTGATAATTTTCTTTACTTTACGCGTTGTTTTCAAATTATCATATTTTTATTTGCTTTTTTCTTTTGTTTGAATGGATGGACTGCAAATGCATGAATATTTCCATATCTCTGGTGATTTTGCATTCTATTGCTGAAAGTTTATGAATTTGCCATCAATTTTTGAGAGATCCACCTGGGAACAAATGGTGGAATTTGGTTTAAAAGTTTGTAATAGATGGGTAATTATTTGGGAATTTTGAACTGTATTGGATATCGTTATTCTAATACTTTAATTTGGGTCCACTCTTTCCCATTCTGAAAATTCTGAGAACAAGGAGACTTAGTTCTTTTTGTAAATCCAAAATCAGTATTTTATGATTATTTCATAGAGGAAATTCTGCGCTGTAAATCCATGTCAGCTTTGTGCACCTTCACTTTCTTTCTAGGATAAGTCAATAAGTGTAATTCTGGTAGTTTTAGTTGTAAAACGTTTTGGTTACCCTTTGGATTGATTGATTTAGATTCATGAATTTTCAGTATTACAAGGGTAGATCAACCAATTTGGAGAGCCTTTAAAAACACCAAAATAATATCATGTATATAATATTTTCATGGATATTGCGCTAGGAATGATTTTCATCATTCTAGTTTAAAGTTCTTATTGGAAGCAAATACAATTTCTTTTCTGGCATGCTGCCATGAGAATATAAGTGTCATTGTTAATATGACAGATGATTTTGTTATTTATATTAAGAGTAAAAACATTAGTAGAACCCATTCCAGATTTAAAAAAATGGCCACATTGAAAGTTGTGATAATCAAAACTCTTCCCAATGAATATCATCACTAGAAGAAACCATCAAAGTTCTGGAATTTATCATGTTGAAGGACATCTGACTGAGGACTGCATGTTTATAGCTCATATATCATCGTCGAACATTCAGATGACTCTCTTTCAATTCTGATTTATAGTTTGTCAAATACATAAAAGAAATAAGTGTTCTTCTCTGACCATTGTTTAGCACTTGCATTCCTCATTAAGCTATGTTAAAGAACCTATATTCAGATAAAAATATCAATAGAAACCATTGCCATTTTAAATGAATGATATACACCGAAACTTGTGATTGCCAAAACTATTCCCAATTAATATTCCTTAAAACAAGAAACCAGCAAAATTGTAGAACTTCTTATGTTGAACAAGATCTGAATGAGGACTGCATGTATAAAGCTCATATATCATGATATGTTTTGATCACTCTCTTTTGATTCTGATTTATGACTTTTCAAATATAAGAAAGTAAGAACTGTCCTTGTTTGACCATTTGTTTAGTCCTTGTAATCCTTATTATCACGCTATATTAAACAATTGTTCAACGGTGCAGGAAACTACAGCATTGGCTGGTTCTTCTGCTGGTGCTATAGTTTGTGCTGTGATTGCTTCTGGAAGCTGTATGCAAGATGGTCTCAGAGCGACCAAACTACTGGCTGAAGATTGCCGTGCTAATGGCACTGCGTTTCGCTTAGGGGTACAAGTTTTCATTTTTCACATAATGAAAGTAAAAATTTCCTTTGTGCAGGTTGAATATTAGTTTGAACTCTACAAGATAAGGTACAGTGTCCAAAAACTATATGCGGGCGCCTAGTTTTCTATGCGACCCAAATAGAGAGGAGGGGAATTTGGGGCCTCAAGGATGTTGTTGGGGTTTTGGATTGAATAATGACCTGCCCCAACCCCAAAAAAAAGAAGGAAAATTTGAATTTATGTAACAAACTTTTAAAGAAGAACTATTTTTAGGGTCTTCTGTGTGTGTGTGTGTTATTCTGTTGCATTATTTCAAACTCATGCATGACTGAGTTTGAAACTTGAAATTGAATCACAAAAACTTTAGACGATTGAAACTTGCCTATAGTTCATGCAAAATTATGTAGATCACTAAATCGTTACATTAAAAATCTTTCATGACCTGCCAATATGCTATAATCAGTCCATACTCCACAATCCACATCAACTATGATATACTAGATCGGAAAGTCAGAAAAGTCAAAAACTCGAAAGACTTAAACCAACAAAACTCAAAATAAGAAAGCAAATCTCATTAAAGCAAATTTCAAATTGAGTTGCATCATCACCACCACCACTAGCAACAAAAACGCCACCATCTCGGTCTCCAAGACCAGCACCAACAGCATTTGAATCTGATGAAGATGCCTAGCCATTGTCATTAGAGTCATCCTCCTCATATTTCTCTTCCTCCATAGTCTGCTCCGAGTCAGCCACCTCCTCATCATCCACCTCCCTTATTATCCTTATGGATTTCCTTTTGTATTGAGATCAAGTGGCCGGGATAGGGCTCAATGTGGTTCCAGCCGCTTCGTAAACTTGGCTCCAGCTCAATGGGATTCCATCAACCTAACAAACAGCCTCAACAAACTTTAAACCAAAAATTGAAATACAACGCTCGGAGTCCTGATTAAAGTTGGCTTAAATATGTGCTGTAGTTTAAATAAGATGGTAAACATAAGATAAGACTAAGTAAATGGAAGGATGCATCATGAATTTTAGAATAAATGGATGTGCCTATAAATGAGCAATTACCAACCTAGTTGAATGGTTAGAACATTTCTTGGCAAATTCAGTTCTTGTGTGATGCAGGACAATTTTTTTTTATTGTTTTTATTTAATTCATAGGATGTATATTTTAATTTTTAATTATTTTAGGGTATTTAATTTTTTTTAGGAATTCTAGTTTTTTTTTCATATATATATATTTTTTATTTTTAGGAGTTTTTTAGAAAAATATTTGTGTTCATGGAATATTTTTTTTTATCAATGGTAAAATGTCACTACGAATTCTGTTTTAAGTTAGGACTATTAATCAATTTTATTTTTGGTTAGGGGCATTATTGTCTTTTGTACTTCAAGTAATGAATAAAAGATGTGCGTGGGGCCCTATGGGGAGATTCACATGATTTTTTTAGAGAAAGAGGAATAAGGAAAAGGAAGCTTTTGCTCCCTAGGGTTTGAGGAAGAAATCCTAGGTTTCTACTACTAGTTGTGTGTGTTTGGCCTGAATTATTGTTGGTTTTCGTTCATATTCAAAAAAAAAAAATATTGTTGATTTTTGTTGTTCTATCAATTCTCCTACTTCAATTTGGTACCAGAGCTTAGTTTCTTCAACAACAAGGCCAGGAAACTACAACCACGTGTGCTGATTTTGGGCCAAATTTTGTCAAATTCAGCCTATATTTTGCTGATCTCAGCAATGTTTTGTTGATTTTCTGCATAGGGTTTGTGATTTCGGTGAGAGTGGTCGTGGAGTGGAGCTTTTCGTAGACCTATTTTGTGATCCTAGAGATAAAGTGATTAGGGATCTTGAAAGGCAAGTTCAACAACAAGCTACTAGTTTGTGAGTATCAATCATGGGCAAGCAGTGATCTTTCTTCCCAGGAAGCTTTCAAATTTAATCTTTTTCACCGTCGTAACCTGCATGAAGTCGAGTGAAGAGGAAAATGATGGAAGACCTAGATGTTGGGGAAATTACTCTATGGTTTTCAATTTAAAGGAGGACATGCTTGATTTTTGACACGGTAATTTTGACGGAGGTTGTATCAAAAAAATCAGGAGGTTGTAGATTGGGATTTGCCACCAATTTTCAATACATGCTCAGATGAACAATAAGATCTCTTAGGAGATTCGATTTATGATAAGGGTCAAGATGAAAATGAAGATGTTTTTCTTTTCTTTGACAAGGTTACATAGGAATGGAACTTGAGATGCAGTACTATGAAAACCCAGCTGCTATCATAAAAATGAAGATGTTCAAGAAGAGGATCTTGCTCATGACGAATATGGCTAGAAAGCAGCAGGAGGACTTATCAAAACGTGGACTTTCAAGATTTCAAGGATTTTAGAGAGGTGGGGCATTCATGAGGTTTAGGGCATTGGAATTAGAGTGGCATAGGGGAAGCATTGTGGACTGATAGAACACAATTTGTAGCGTTGGATTCTGAGTATAATGAAATGGATGTCGCAAAAACTCTAATGGCCCAAAAGTTGAGTTTGAAGGTTCTTACACAATTTTCAGTGCGAGTTTAGGAATTGTGAGACTTGATAAGTTTCTATCAATTCCTTACTATACATACCAGCAGCGTTTTAAAACTCGGATGAGGCAACCTGGACTCGACCGAGTAACTCGGCCTCGGCCCATGGGCGAGGCGAGTTTTAACCGAGTTAATTGTACACATTATTTTTAAACTTTAAGTATACTATTACTGCAAACTTATATCAGATATGTTGGAATGGTCTATTCGGTAGCGCTAACGAGCAATCTTCACCCCAATGAGTGTTTGAATCCCCTCTGTTCCATTCAATACAAAGTCACAGTTTTAAATCATATATCAATGTTGATTTTCGAGTATGGAATGCAGATATACTTTAGCATCAATATCCATTGGTGTAATGAAGCATTAGTGCTCAATAAATGAACTGCTTGGCTTCTATTTAGGGATTAGCGTATTGGACTTTGTGGTTCACATTATAGACAACACACTTTGTAGAACAATTGTTTCATGCGGGCTTGACCACATTTCTACAATATGCGGTTCAAAGGTATAAAGCATCCATCTTAAAGATGGATGCAAATAGGTGGTCCATCTAAAAACAATTGTAACGAACGGTCCAAATGCTTTCTTAATATAATTATTATTTCTAGTTTTCAATTATTTTTTTTTCATATTCATGATCTCCATGTTAAACATTATATATTCTCTAAAAATTAGGATCAAATTATATTTAAAATATATATTTATTGCCAACCCCCATTTTTACAATGTACGGGGCTGGCCGCATGCTAACTGCATTCTACTTTATATTTTGTATTTACTTAGTGAAGTCCCCTCTACGGTTCACTGTTGTTAATTTTCCCAACCTTATATTAACTTGACCGGTCCTTTTGATACCTGCCACCGTGCATTGAACACTTAGAATGCTTTTAACCTAAACATGCAATCTAATTTGATCTTGAGAATACTCTCTACGTTGTTCAAGTATTTATTTACCTTTCAATTTTGATTGGTTCAATGTGATGTGCTGTTCTCTTAACAATAATATTTACTGAATATGTATACTTTTATCTGAGTATGCATTCCTTATATAAGTTGCAAACGCCAATTGATTGATTTAAAGCTGTGTATGTTAAAAATTATTCTGGAGTGTGGGCAAATCAATATTTATATATATGCATGAGACAGAAGACAGAACCTCATAGGAGCAGACAGTCGTCCCATTTATTGCTGCTATCTCTGCACACTCTGGCAAGTAAAGTCGCCGCGTGAATTGCTCCATTCATGTATTCAAAATAGATGGCCCTCATATTGCTCATATCACTGATCCCCTTTACAACCCTCTATAGGTATGGGGAATCAAGGCTGGCCCTCCTAATAACCTTGAGTGAGTTGCCTTCCACCATGGAGGATCCTGAGAAGAACATTGAAAACATCATTGGACAATTCCATAATTCGACAAAAGGGAGTCTCGTTTCCCCTTTTTTTTTATCAAGAATACCTGTCACGCCCTAAGGGCCCTGGATTTTCAGTTGTAATAACCAATATTAAGTATCAGAATGCTCTCTACAGGGGACTTCCAACTACCATGAAAAATGTTCTAGGTGATAACCCGCAAGACGGAATATCTTGGTCTCGAACCAAATCTAATGCTTGCATCATTAGAACTTCTTTTTCTGTGAGGTTCACGAAAAATCCATATGAATATCGTGGATTCCTGGTTATAAATTGAGTTCAGACTTGATGAAAACCCCCAGAAATTTCAGTTGTTCTTCTCATTGCATTGTACTTTAAAATGCTGTTGCAGGACAATCTCCGTATTAAAAGACATATCTGATGAAAAGGGTCAAAACAACCATAAATTTTAAAATTGGGCAATAAGGCTAAGAGTAGCTAAGAAATAATAAAAGGATGAAACACCAAAAATGTCATGGAAAAAACCACAAATTTCATAGGTACTGGAAGAATGTCAGATGAAGGGGGTCTATAGAGTCCTCTACATCTCTACAGGGGGTCTATAGAGTCCTCTACATCTCTACACACATCTTTAGATTGGAAACTTCAGCCTAGGGATGAGAATTTAGCCAATCCGGATCCAAAACCCCAAATTTGAATCCTTTCCGAATCTGGGTATGGATCCAAGATTTAGATCCGAAATTCGGATCCGGGTATATGTGGATCCGATCCTGATCTGACCTGGTTTTTTAAAATAATATATATTATAATATATATATATATATACATATATGTTATAATTTATACATTTATTAATATATATATATATATAATTATATTTTAACTTTATAATACACAAAATTGGAGCTAATATGGATCCAAATCCTATATATAGTTTCGAATATGGGATCCCATCGTATCCGGATTTGGGTAGATCCAGACCTGATTCGAAAAATTCTCAACCCTACTTTGGCCACAGTCCTGGAGGTGATCCCCCGTAAGAGCCTCA